TTGCGTATCTGCTCTTAATTCTTTTTGTGGTTATATTATTGTGTTATTGGATACAAGCTATAATGAATAACTTGAACAAATTAAAAATTTGAAACACAATCCGCAAACAATCAGTGATTAACTAAAATTTTGAAATTAATATCCATGAGACCTATTCACCCTCCTCCTTTATGTCTAATTCACTGCTTGCAGCTTGACCTAATTAAAGCTGGGTAAGGGTCCACTAATCTATCATTGCCATTCACATGGATATGTAAGATGATCTCATAATGTTCCTGGTGCTCAAAAATCCTTGGCGGAAACATAATTAGTTCTTTTTTCTATTTTAGGTAAACAGCAGCATTGGGTTGGCACTTGATTTTGCTTAAAATGGTGATCCTTGTGGAAATTCTTATATTTCATTATGTTCTGATACTTATCAAAAAAAAAAAAAAAAATTTCATTATGTTCTGATGATCCTTCTGCATTTATATGGCCCTCTTTTTTGGTGAATCAAGGGGCGTAAGCAGTGCCAATTTCAATCAAGTAGCTACACTATTTGAAATCCCTTGCGTACCTAGATTGATGTTTCTAAGAGTTATTATTGATAAATTTCTATTTTCATATGTTTTAATGTTGATACATTGTTACTCTGTTCCAATGAGTATAAGTAGAACCGAAAATTTGAAATTGAACACAAAGGTGAAAAAGAATAAATTCTGATATTCTCTTTTCATATATCATATGTTAGTTTACAGGCCTATATATATGGAAGTATGTTACAAATTCTATCTAAGGAAAAGATATTTATAGATCATAATTTTTAAATAAGTCAACTGTCTAACTATGGATAATTTCTAATAATCCTCCCTAACTAATTTCCTAACAATTCAGCCTAGATCTTTCCACACTCCCCCTCAAGCTGGCTCGAAAAAATATCTTGCATTCCCAAGTTTGCATGTAAGATTGTCAAATTTCCCCTTCGGTAATCCTTTAGTGAGGATATCTGCTACCTGTTCTCCTGTAGGAATATAGGGCATACATATCACTCCTTCTAATTTCTCCTTAATAGAATGTCGATCTACTTCCACATGCTTAATCCTATTATGTTGGACCGGATTGTGAGCTATGTTGATTGCAGCTTTATTATCACAGTAAACCTTCATAGGCATCGGACTTGAGATTTTAAGATCTTCAAGTAATCTTTTCAGCCACAAAAGTTCACAAATTCCATGAGCAACTACTTTGAACTCAGCTTCTGCACTACTCCTTGTTACAATGGTTTGCTTCTTGCTCCTCCAAGTAACCAAGTTTCCTCCAACATAAGTATAGTAACCTGAAGTAGACCTTCTATTCGTCAACTACCTCCCGAATCAGCATCGGTATAGGCTTCTAATCCTTAGATGGCCATGGTTTTCAAACAACAAACCTCTTCGAGGTGATCCCTTTAGGTATTTGAGAATCCGGTAGACTGCCTCAAAGTGTTCTTCTCCTGGTGAGTGCAGAAATTGACTCACTACACTCACTGCAAAGGCAATATCTGGCCGAGTGTGTGAAAGATAAATGAGTCTTCTAACCAGCCTTTGGAATTGCTCTCGATTCACCACTTTTTCTGCACTTGCTGCCTGCAACTTTAAATTGGGCTCCATAGGTGTTTCCACCGGTTTGCAGCCAAGTAAACCTGTTTCCATAAGTAAATCCAACACATAATTCCTTTGAGAGACAAATATCCCTCTCTTGGATCTGGCAAATTCCATTCCCAGGAAGTATTTCGAAGCTCTAAGATCTTTTATCTCAAATTCCTTTGCAAGAAAAGACTTCAAATCCTCTAATTCTCTTTTATTATCTCCGGTCAAGATTATGCCATCCACAATCTTACCATCACTTGAATGTTTGTAGAACAAAGTGTGATCAACCTGACTTTAACGATACCCATGACCCTTGATAGCTGTAGTGAATCGATTAAACCATGCTCTGGGTGATTGTTTCAGACCATATAGCGATTTCTTCAATTTACACACCTTTCCAGCTCCATAATCATTTTCAAATCCTGGTGGTCGATTCATAAACACTGCTTCCTCTAGCTCACCATTTAAGAATGCATTCTTTACATCTAACTGATGCAATGGCCAACTCAAGCTTCCAGCAAGAGATGACAACACCCGTACGGAATTTACCTTTGCCACTGGGGCAAAGGTTTCCTGGTAATCTGGTCCATATGTTTGGGTGAAGCCTTTAGCTAGGAGTCTCGCCTTGTATCTCTCAATATTACCATCAGCCTTATATTTGACCGTGAACACCCATTTGCAGCCTACAGTCTTCTTCTCCCTTGGCAACTCAACAATCTCCCAAGTTTTATTCTTGTCAAGAGTCCCTCATCTCTTCCATAACTGCTACCTTCCACTCAGTATGATTCTAGGCTTCCTGTATAGTTCTAGGAATTGAAACACTAGAGAGATTAGTAGTAAAAGCTCTATAATTTGGAGACAATCTATGGTAGGACACGTATTTAGCAATAGGGTGTATGGTACAAGACTCTTTGTAAGTGCAATAGGAATATTAAGGTCACGAGAAATGCTCTCTTCATTGCTGGTTTCAGGAATTAAAGATGGATTAGAGACAAAAATACCTGTTTCATTCAAGTTGCCTTTATCTGGAGAATTTTCTTGCCAGGTAGTAGGTTGGTGCTCTTTATTGTGATCCTTCCTTCTTCGACAGTAAACACGGAGCTCAGATTGAGGTTGGATTTGAAGTGGTTTTCCCCCTGAAGTGTAGTCTATAATGTTGGACTCAATAGGCTTCAGAGAGGTTGAAATAGTGGGTTCAGTAGGTATGGTAGAGTTTGGTGAAACACTCGACAATGGTAAAGAGCCCAATACTTCCCAAAAATTGTCTTCCCTCTCATTACTCTCCCCCTTAAGAGTATTTTTGGTGAAATGGGGTTGAGTCTCAAAAAAGGTCACTTCCATACTCGCAAAGAATTTTTTAGAGGTAAGGTTATAACATTTGTACCCTTTCTGTTTAGGAGAGTCCCAACAAACACGCACTTTTCAGCCCTAGGATAAAGTTTTGAACGGTCCCGTGTATGAACATGTACAAAAGCAGTGCATCCAAACACTGAAAAGGTAATGAGGTGAAGATCCTAATATGGGGAAAAACTGACAGTACGCTGTTTAGGGGCGTCTCAAATTTCAACACCTAGTTGGCATTCTGTTGATCAAGTATGAAGCAGTAAGAATAGCCTCACCCCATTGATATTTAGGAACCCCCATAGTGAACATTATTGCCCTAGCAACCTCAAGTAAATGGCGGTTTTTTCTCTCAGCTATCCCCTTTTGCTGTGGGGTATCAAAGCTAGTGGACTGATGGAAAATACCCTTTTCTTTCAAAAATTCACCAAGAATAGAGTTAAAGAATTCTTTTCCGTTATCGTTTCTAAATACTTGAATCCAGGTTTGAAACTGGTTTTCAATCATGGCATAGATGATAGAACTCTTTAAACACTCTCGTAGCCTCAGATTTTTCTCTCAAAAGATTACCCAACACACTCTAGTATGGTCATCAATGAAAGTGATGAACCACCTAGTTCCAGTCATATTAGTAACCCGAGAAGGCCGCACACATCACTATGAATCAAATAAAATGGTTTGGATGCTTGATATAAATGAGAAGGATGAGAAACACGATGATGCTTTGATAATTGACAAGATTCACATTGAAATAACGAAGGATTTAAATTTTTGAACATGGATGGAAACAAATGTTTTAAGTAAGAGAAGAAATTGGGATGGCCTAACATATAGTGCCATAACATTATTTGACTTTTAACAGAAATAGAAATATCACTACTACTTGCAGCTTAAGCTTGTCCACTCTTGAAGATTTCATTATCAAAATAATAGATTCCATTAACCATCCTAGCACTGCCAATCATCTTCCTCGAATATAGGTCCTGAAATTCATAGTGAGAATCAAGAAATTTGACAACACAGTTAGAATCTTTGGTGAGTTTACTAACTGATAAAAGATTGCATGAAAGGTTAGGCACATGGAGGACAGATTTTAAAACAATGTTTTCTGAGACAACTATAGCACCTTTTCCTGCAACTAGAGACAAACTACCATCAGCAATACGAATTTTTAAGTGACCAGAATTTGGAAAATATGTACTAAACAAATGTGATAAACTAGTCATGTGATCAGATGCACCAGAATCAATGATCCAAGGTGCCGGATTTAAAGAACTAGTGAGAGCACTTAAAGAGCTACCTTTTTGGGCAAGAGAACCTGAGGAGACACTTGAAACCTGAGTTTGGTTCAGCAGTTTGGAGAGATGATCAAGCTGCTCCTTATTGAATGGAGATGTCTCGGTTTCAGTAATAGCCTGCATTCCACGCCCATTCTTGTCTCCAAATCTGGCTACCTTCCAATTTGCTCGTTTTCCATGTAGTTTCTAGCATGTTTTTCGCGTGTGCCTTTTGTTTGTTACAGAAATCACACCAAATCTTGGTTTTCTCTTCAATCTTCTGCTGTAGGTGATTTGTTGGTTTTGGATTAACTGCAGTTGCTGCCATTTCAGTGGCTGTTACATTGAGTGCAGAGTTCTCACTATGAGTGCTAGAAGATTTCTTTCTCATCATCACCAACATGCGGCTTTCTTCCCTCCTAACTTCCGAGAAGACTTCTCTAGTGGTAGGCAGTGGCTCTTGGCCTAGAATACGCCCTCTCACTTCGTCTAACTCAGCATTGAGTCCAGCCAAAAATTCAAAAACACGGTCCTTCTTAACTGTTTTCTTGAATTGGGCACTATCACCTGCACACTTCCATTCAAAATCATAAAAGAGGTCAAGTTCTTGCCACAGACCTTGTAATATGTTGTAATACTTTGTAACAGTCTGATCTTCTCGTCTTGTTTCTCGGATCCTTGTTTTAATTTCATAGACTTGTGCAGAATTGCCTAAGTCCGAGTATGTCTCACTCACTGCGTCCCATAATTCTTTGGCAGTGGAGGGATACATAAATGTCTGGCCTATCTCCGATTTCATGGAGTTGACTAGCCATGACATAATCATGGAATTTTCTGCATCCCAAACGGCAATGCTGGATCATCTTCCTTTGGGGCCTTCTTTGCACCAGTTAAATAACCAATCTTCCCCCGCCCTCGGACGAACAGCTTTATGGATTGAGACCACCGTAGAAAATTCTGTCCATTCAGCCGATGAGTGGTAATTTGGAGGATTGGGTTGTCACCTGAACCGGATGAAGTGATCTGGGATTTCCGAGCATTTGAAGAATCGACCGAAACTTCCTCAGTGGAGATTCCAGACATCGCGGATTTAACCGAAGAAATTGTCCAGAAACGACGAAGAGAAATAGAAGAAAGTTTTCTATAATTCTGGTATAAACGACCAGAATTAACGATGAATATTTGCTGATTTTATCGGATAATCAGCAGAACAATGGAGTAATTTACCATCCTAGTGAGGGCGGCTCTGATACCATGAACATAAAGGTGAAGAAGAATAAATTCTGATATTCACTTTTCATATATCATATGTTAGTTTACAGACGTGTATTACAAATTCTACATAAGGAAAAGATATTTACAGATAATAATTTAAAAAAATTCAACTATCTAACTAAAAATCCACCCTAACTAATTTCCTAACAAATCAGCCTAGAACTTTCCACAGAAATCTTTTAACATTTTGCAATTTTAAAGTGTGTTATAGATTTCAGATATTCTTTTTTCACAATGATGGTTGTTACCTAGATTTTCATTTTCACAATGGGCGTTGTTGCCTGGTTAAGTAGTAGAATACTTGAGCATCGAGCCATTAGCAGTTTAGCACGAATTCAAGCATCAGAGCATCCACTTTGTGAAACACTAAAAGCTTAAGTCTGTGTCAAGTACTCCCTCCCTAGAACTTTTCTGTAGCTAGATCTAAACCAGGTGATGCCCTCATATTCTTTATTGCAATCAGGGCATCTATGTTTAGTGGAATTTTTTCTTTTTGCAATGAAATTTGTGCTTCATGATAAAATGGCACTAGAAGCATGTTTTTCTTTACAACAGAAGGACGCATTATCTTTTTTGTTGTTTTGATCTGTTGGGTCTTTTTTTGTCAACTTTTCACAAGATTTATACTTCATATTTGACACTTATGATTCCCCAAAATAAGTAGGCAAGTTCTTTGCAACATTTTCCATTGTTATTTGACTTATTCAACTTCTTGTTTTCTTTTGATTTACAGGAAGGTTTTCTAGGTGGAGATTGTGTTGATACGAGACTTTCTGAACTTTGTTGTATAGCAAATTAGGTGGCCGAATGGATGATGGGGGGCAACGTGAAAATGGGAGACAGAGAGTGGATTACTATAAAGGTGTACAAATTCCGGTAATAACAATTGAACAATTATGCAATGGCCAAAAAAACAAAAAAAAAAAAAAAAGAGAATAGATTCGACTTTCTAATTCTTCCTCTTGGTTTAGTATGCAAGTGTAGATCGATCTGAATAGAATAAAATGATATACTTTGCTTCCTTTTTCAAATATAATTGCAGTGGAATATGATGCCCCAGTACCAGTTGAATGATCAGAATGCCTTCAATATGCATAAGAGGATCGTGAACATCATTAAGGAGAGGAGTGTTGCTATTGAAGAACGGGATAGGGCACTATCTGAAAGAAATGCAGCCTTTGATGAGCGAGATATGGCATTCCAACAGCGAGATACAGCAATTGTTGAGCGAGATAATGCCCTTAGGGAACGAGACAACGCCATTGCTGCCCTTCAATTCCATGAAACCACCATGAAAAGCACATTGAGTTGTGGAATTCAACGTGGAACGAAGCGCGTGCACCGCCCCATCAACCATCCTACCAGTGTTGCTGAAGCTGCTTACAACACAAGGGAAGGACACATAACTGATGCCTTCCCAGTATCAGCCATTTCATCTGAAGTTGTTAAGTCACGGCAGCCAAAACGGGAAACGGAAAGCAAGGTTGTTTCACCTACAACATCGAAATCACCAAAGAAGCGAAAGAAAATAGGTGAGGATTTGAATAGGCGTGTCACTACTCATGGGTCAAAGGCTGAGTGGGATTCTCAGGATTTTGACTTGATGAACCAGGTTAATTTTGATGACTCTACCATGCCAGTGCCTTTCTGCTCATGCACCGGAGAACGTCGGCAGTGTTACAAATGGGGGAATGGGGGCTGGCAGTCATCTTGTTGCACCACAACCCTATCAGTATATCCACTGCCACAGATGCCGAACAAGCGCCATGCACGAATGGGTGGCCGGAAGATGAGTGGTAGTGTTTTTACCAGATTGCTGAATCAATTGGCAGCAGATGGTCATGATGTGTCAGTGCCCCTGGATCTCAAGAACTACTGGGCCAAACATGGTACTAATCGCTACATTACTATAAAGTAATTTATCGACAATCCTCAAAGAATGGAATGTAGTTTCTTTTTTATGCCTATATTTCTAACCTAACCAAAATGTTTCTGAAGTGGACGAAAAGGGTAGATAGAGCTTCGAGTATCGGAGTAGTTTCCAAGCTCTTCTATTTGAAATTAAACTTTGTGATTTTTGTAACCCTTTTCCCCAAAAAGAAGGGGAATTTTTGTTAATTGTTGGGAAGTTGAACAAAATATATTGCAGTATAAGTGGCTTGCTTGTTTTGCTGTAAAAAATTTATTTTTAGATGGCAAATTTTATGTTTGAGTCAGCAGCGGGTAAAAAAAACTAATCTCCTATTTCAAAATTTTATTCTTCGAGAGCAGCACTATTGGACCAAGCGTCACGGATGAAGAAGCCAGTCCGAGGAACTTCTTTTGACACACCTATGCGTGTATGTACATATATAGCTAAATCTTTCCACACGTGTTCTTTTTAGTTCCTTTCATTATTTTTTCAGTTACTTTATTCTTCTTCTTCATTTTTTTATTTTTTATTTTTTTTATTCGTCTTTACGTATGTATTTATATATATACACACATACATACATATACATACAAGCATCGTTATCTTTCGACTTCCATTTTTTATCAATGTCTTTACGTATGTATTTATATATATACACACATACATACATATACATACAAGCATCGTTATCTTTCGACTTCCATTTTTTATCAATACCTCCCTCTTTTTTATCACAAAATTATATTCATCTCTTTTTGCAAAATAACTAAAACTCAATTTCACAATTTTACTTCAATTAAAACTCAATTTCATAATGTTACTTCAATTAAACTTTCCATGAAAAACCAGATGTAGGTGCAAAATTTCAATCAACTAAAAATAGTTAAAAGAAAAAAATACAACTCACCCAAAGAAAATAACAAATAGCAATAATTATTCAGAGAAAAACGTATATTGCTCGATGATCTTTATTGGAGGTCTAGGTCTCCATTTATATACAAAAAGATGGTAGAATTATAGTAGGACTCGCATTGCTTGCCCTCTAATTCATTTCATATATAATGTTCTTTCCTATAATGTTGTTTCCTTCCACACTTCTTTCCATGCTAGATTTCTCCTTTTGTTGAACTTCCTTATATGAAGGATCCTTTATTTGGTAGGACTAATTCTGTCTTTAAATGAGTCTGGGCCGAATACAACTTGGTCCAACTGACTTTATTGACGGGCTGGAAGTTCAATATTGGCGATCTTGGGCCGTTGGTGATTTTATCTAGGCTTGAACAGGGTTGGGCTCTTGTAACCCACCAAAAGATTAAGAATGAAGCCTTTGTTGTGGCTATGTGGCTGGCTTTTATTGGAGCGGGATTTTTCCCTCCATACTTTGCCCCCAATTCCCTTTTTAATTAGACTATGGCTCTTAATTAGAAGGAAATTGAAGTTGTACGGTTGCCAATTTTGTAAAAGGCGGTTTCGAGGAGCGACCATTGACATTCTAACCAAAGGGTTTCTTTGCAACTTGCTTTTGGCTTCACTGCGTTCATTGTGCTCATTACTTCAACGCGATTCCAGGTTAGTCCCTTATCCGCTTCTCTAATTTCCTTCGCATCATGAGCTCTTCACCCACCCACGGTCATATAAAAATTATGGATTCTGAATCCACACCCTCGTCGTCGCCCATTCTTCTTAGAATTCCTCCTCCTAGGGTTTCTAAACCCCTCGAATCTGCAAATGATTCAATCATTCAGATGGATGATTCTTCACCCCAAGCGGAAGTATCTACTTCCGGGTCAGATGGTGTTTTCACAAAAGAAGAAAGAAAGATGATTCCGTCTATTCGGCGTATCAAGTTCACCATTGACTCCGTAATGGAGGAATTTGAGATTCCTGAAGGGGTGGAAATTGTTGAATACCTCAAGAAGGCTGATTTTAGTTCCGACGAGGGCGTCGGAGAGAACGAATTGCTCTTATCGGTTGGGCACCTTAATGCTCTTCGATTTCCTCTTCACCCATTCTATCACTTAGTCTTTAACAAGTTAGGTCTTGCCCCCCTTCAAGTAAACCCTAACTTTCTTTAGATAGTCTTGGCACTTTTGATCCGCCGAAAGCTAGAGAGTCTTGGCTTGACTTTTGCTGACCTATTGATTACCTGCACCATTTCCAGGCATGGGACCGAGCCTGGCCATTTTTATTTTACTTCCTCTCTTCAACAGAGGATATATACGGACCTTCCTAATTCCGAGAAGAAATGGAAAAAGAGGATGATAATTGTTAAAGGGAACTAGGCTGTGTCTTAATCGAGCAAACTCCCAATCTCGCGCAAATTTGGGAAGTTAGGTATAGAATGTTTTCCCTCCCTTCATGACAAGTGCTCTGGTTGCTTCCCATGTCAAGTCTTACTCTTTCGTCATACTTATGAATTTCTTGGTGTTTTTTCAGTTACCTTCCCCTCCTCTGCAGCTAAGAAGAGGCTTGCTTTTCTCGAAAAACAAGTTTAAAACAACCCCCCTAAAGTTAAGGAGTTACTTTATTCAACCAATCTCAAGGAAATCGCCTCCAGCGCTGTAGCAGTTGACCTGATGGATTTGGCACTCCCTTCATTTGACAGCTTTCCGTTGACTGAGGAAGAGAAGAAAAGGGCTGAAGCCCTTAAAAAGAGAGCCGCAGAAAAGGAGCCTCTTGCCATTGTACGTTCTACTGAGCAGGAGAAAGAGGTTGAGGAAGCTTCTTTGTAAAAGAAGGCGAAATTGAACCCTTCTTCAACAGCAAAAGTCGAGGGAGTTACTCCATCAAAAAGCAAAGGTAAGAAAATTGGAGAAACTGACCCTGAGGAAGAGGTGAGGGCTTTTGTCCTGGTTGAGAAAGGTGAGCCTTAGAGGCCTACCTTTTCTAGGGCGGATAAATCAATCCTTCACTCCGGGGATTCAGTTATTACAGACCCTTCTGTAGCACTGGCAGTTGCACGGGGAGTATAGCTGCCCAAAGATGAAGAAAGTATGGGCAACATGAGGTTAGACCAGCTTCTTCCTTCTACTCCAGTTCGTGCTGTGGAGGTTTATTCTTTTCTCTTCATTGTTAGCTTTTTAGCTTTCTTTTCACTCTATTTACCCTATTATTGTTATTGTTGATTGTGTAGAGCCTATACCACACTATGGCCCTGTGCGCCACTGCTAAGGCTCAGTCTCTTTCTATCAAGAAATTGGAAAGGGACCTTGCCAATGTTGAGAAGAAGGCTTCTAATGTAGCTTTGAATGTAAAGATAGCCTCTAAGACGAGGGATGTTTACAAAAATCGCTTGGTAGCATCTGAAGCCAAGGTGGAGGCATTGGAGGCTGAGAACCAGCGTTTGAAGGATGCAATTGGCACCTGCATCACTGCTGGGAAACAAATGCAAGGACGCTACTCCACCTTGGTACGCTTATCCAGCACAAAGGCCTTCAGGTTTGGCTTCAACCAGTGCTCAGGCGATAAGTTGAAGGACCCAGAGACTTTTGATGCTGACATGGAAGTGTCCTTCCCTTACACTGAGGGTCCACGGGCCCAAGAAGCTGAGGTGTTATTTGCTAAGATGGTGAAGTCTCACCAAGAGGACCATCCAGCTCCAAGTTTGTCAGCTCATCCATTTTCAAACCCATTAACTCCTCCAGCCTTAAGTCCGAACGTGGTGGATGCTTTTGATTCTGTTCCTTTTGACCCCAAGAGAAAGTGAACTTGTATAATATTTGCTCTGGAACAACATATATTTTGCTTGTAGACAGTAATTGTTATAATTTTTATATTTAGTTTTGAAAACTTGCATATCTATGAATGTTTTTGAGTTGCACATACTTGCTGAGTAATTTTTCATGCCTTTGAAAAAGATTCATTTTCTCTGGAAACTTTGGACTTCTTATGGTCCGAAGCAAAAACGGAGAAGATGATAATAAGGGAGTTCCCATGACAGTTCGGTCACTAACTGAGGAGTGTTCTACCATTTAGTGATCTAACCATCAGGGGGAACCCTTCTTGCCCTTAACTCATGTGGAGTAGGTATATCAATACTCGTTTTTTCATGTACTATTTCGATATGGGACAAATTACTGGACTTAGTAATTGTTTTAATCAAACTCATTGATTCTGAGAATAAAATGTCAAAGAATATAGTAACCTCTATTTAGGTTTTTGCTAATTCATCTGGGTTTTATCCTATTTACTTGTATTCAGATTCCTCGTGTCTAAAGTGTGAAGTTCCTTGTCTTAGAGGAATGCGTTGATGGCTTCGAATTACCAACTTTTTAGTGCTGCATTCATATCATCATGATCCGAAGATTTTGAAAAGAATAGGCTTAAGAAAGAGGGTCCCTTGATATGTTGGTCTCTGATTGAGCGATTACGCTTGAAGACCTAATTATCAAGGGGCACCTTTCTTGGCAATCGATAAGTGTGGGATTGCACTATATATTGCATTCATGTTTTTAATTTATTTTCAATGTGGGACAAAACTTCTCATAGGTCGTACACTGTTGGGCCAAATATGAGGGCCTGCAGGTGTGACAGCCATAAAGAGTATTTGCCCCCACTCGGGTTCAGATCTATTGATGTAACTTCGGACTCAAAGCATTCGAAGTGGTAAATTCCTCGGTTATGAGCCTAGAAGGAATTGTATTATGCTGGACTCTTGTGGTCTAGTATATTGTTCCTCGGCTCTGAGCCTGAGAGGAATTGTATTGTGCCGGACTCTTGCGGTCCGAGGCATGTGGTTCCCAGCTATGAGCCTAAGAGGAATTGTATTGTGCCGGACACCTGGGATTCGGAGTAGGTAGATCCTCGGCTATGAGCCTAAAAGGAACTGTATTATGCCGGATACTTGGGGTCCGAAACAGGTAGATCCTCGGCTATGACCCTGAGAGGAACTGTATTGTGTTGGACACTTAGGGTCAGAAGCAGGTAGATCCTTGGCTATGAGCCTGAAAGGAATTGTATTGTGCCAGACTCTTACAATTCGAAGCAGGTAGATCCTCGGTTATGAGCTTGAGAGGAACTATATTGTGTCGGGCACTTGGGGTCCGAAGCAGGTAGATCCTCGGCTATGAGCCTGAGAGGAATTGTATTCTGCCAGACACTTGGCGTCCTAAGCAGGTAGATCATCGGCTATGAGCCTAAAATGAACTATATTGTGCCGGACACTTGTGGTCGGAAGCATGTAGTATCCTCAGCTTCTCGCTTTAGAAGAATGTTGTTAATGTCCTCAGACTCGCGGGTCCGAGGATTCAAAAATGAGAAAAGGCCAAGGAAAAGAGTGACATTGACCTAGCCAGATTCCCAAACATTTGGTTGGGATCCTTTATTTCACGGTCACCCCTTCCTTGGTGTTTGCTTTTTATAACTGCCACTTATATTAACTATCCCCACTCCTTATTTCTATTCGATGTGGGAGAAAAGTAGAATTTGTATTTTGGGCCAGATAATCTAGGCTTTTGTTAAAAAGAGAAAATTATTGCAAAGAATGCCCGCTGGCACTATTAATTGCCAGCGGGCCCTCTTTGCAATACACTCAAATAATTTCACTGTTCCTTATATAAAGGGAAGCTTAAAGTTATGTCTAAGCGATGTGGGACCATAACAAAACATATGCCTTGAGCTACATACCTTTGTGCTTTGTGTCCAAAAATGAGAGAAAATATTGCAAAGAATGTCTTTTGGATATATGGCCTAAATACATGCCTTAATTTCCAATAGGCACTCATTGCAATATACGTTCATGCTAAAGTCCGCCCCTATGTAAAAGGACTTGCGGAATAATAGATTATTGATTTGGGACAAAAATATAACTAAAAAGCGAAAAAATATAGCTTCGTTTACTGTAACATCTTTCTTTTGTTGTCATAATATCTTTGTTTTGTCGTAATATCAACAGTAGGGTATACGTGTTGCCCCCTCTGACGGAAAAGAAAGTAACAACAAGTAATATCTCACATCAACAAGTTTTAGAAAAAAGGTGCAAAGAGGTATAGTTTAATAAGAATCGTTTATTATGTGGGCCTATAAGTAGCCATATTTGTAGAAAGACAAACATATTGTCTCTTTGTAAAAGAAAAGCAAATGGACTATATTGTCTAATGATAGTACCTTTTGATGTGTATTGCATTCCATGGACGTGCAATTGGACGCCTATTAGCTTTGGCTAATCGGTAAGCTCCTTTCCCTACCACCTTTATGACTCAGAAGGTCTAGTCCAATTGGGTTGTAACTTCTTTATGTGGGCTGTTTCCTGCTTCAGCACCCAGTCGCCTACCATAAAGTTTTTAAACCTGACGCACTTGTTATAACTGTTACGCAGTTATTGCTAATATGAAGCAAGCCTAATTGCTGCAGCATCCCTCTTCTCCTCCAAGAGGTCGAGGCTATGCTCAAGCTGCTGATCATTGTTCCCCTCGAGCAACAAATGTGTCCGAAGAGTAGGTATCGCTGACTCGGTGGGGATGACAGCCTCGGACCCATAGGCCATTGCAAAGGGGCTTTCCCTTGTTGGGCGCTGTGGGGTGGTTCGATATGCCCAATGTACCTTAGGCAGATTTTCGTACCACTTCGACTTGAACAGCTCCAACTTTTTCTTCAGACAGCTGAAGATGGTTCGGTTAGTTATTTTGGCCTGCCCATTTCCTTGTGGATGACTAACCGCGGCCAACTTCTGTCTGATCCCATGCTCGGCGAAGAACTTTCTTGTGCTTCTATTGTCCAAATTCTTACCGTTGTCCATTATGATAACCTTTGGCACTCCGAATCGGTAGATTATATTGTTCCATAGAAAACTCTTTACTTGCTCATGGGTCACGCTTGAATAAGCTTCTGCCTCTACCCACTTTGTGAAGTAATCCATGGCTAGCAATACGTATTCCCTTTGCTTCACAGCTTTGGGCAAAGGTCCGACCATATTAATTCCCCATTGTGTGAATGGCCATGGATTCGCCATTGTGTGTAAGTCCTTAGCAGGCTGATGTTTCATTAGGCCATGTCGCTGGCATTTGTCGCATCTCCTGGTATATTCCTCAGCATTCTGAGCCAGGTATGGCCAGAAGTAACCTTGAGTTAAGACCTTATGTGCCAGGGACCTGCAGCCGGAGTGGTTGCCACAATCCCCATCATGAATTTGCTTTAGTATTATGAGGGCCTTAAGCACTTCAGGTAAGGACCTGAGAATGACTTCCTGTACAATTGATTATTAATAATAGAATATTTGGCTACGATGAACCTGAGTTTCCTTACCTCGGTTTTCTGGTTCGGAAGAGTTCCATGCTTGAGGTAAGCTTCCAGCGGAACCATCTAGCATGGTTCTCGTGGAATGTTCGGATCACCATTATCTCCTGCTAAGGACTTATACTAGGTTCGTCCAGGATGTCTATTGGCACTATCTGGACCAAATCTTCGTCTGAGGAAGATGCCGCTGTGGTCAGTTGATCTGCTTCGGAGTTCTCCTCACGAGGTACATGGTGGAATTCGATTTGATCGAATCCACGTGTAGCACTCTCTACAGCCTCCTTGTATGCTTTCATTCTTTCTTCTTTGGGCTGATATTTTCCTTTCACCTGATTCACAATAAGTTAAGAGTCACTAAACACCTTTAGACACCTTACTTGGAGCTGGTTTGCCAACCAGGGCCCGGCATACTCGACTTCGTTGTTAGTGGCAAGAAAAGTTAGACGAACTGAGTGCTACAGCTTGGTGCCTTCAGGGGTAATGATAATGATTCCGGCCCCAGCACTAGTTAGGTTTGAGGAACCATCTTCCCGAAGCTCTCATTGTGGTTCGGGAGGGTCTGGCTCTTCGGGCTTATCTTCATACTCATGGAGGAAGTCGGCCAATGCTTGGCCTTTGTGTAACACCTTTGGCTCATAAGATATATCGAAGGAACTAAGTTTGATTGCCCACTTAGTTATTCTTCCGGATAAGTTTGGCTTAGAAAGAATAACTCGCATGGGATAGTTGGTTAAGACTACGATGCTATGAGACTCAAAATAGTGCCAAAGCTTCCTCTTTGCATACACCAACGCTAGTATGATCTTTTCTACTTTGTTATACAGCGTCTCACCATCTGTCATCATCTTACTTATGTAGAAGACTGGGTACTGATTCTTTCTTTCTTTTCTGATCGGTATGGCACTTGTGGCTATGCCGGAGATTGTTAAGTATATGATGAGAGTTTCACCAGGCTTTGGAGCGGAGAGAATTGGAGGTTCAGCCATGTAGCACTTTAATTGTTTGAGAGCCATTTGCTGCTAAGGTCCCCATATATCCTTGTTCTTGGATCTTATTGCATCAAAGAATGGTTTGCACTTGTTTGATAACCGAGATATGAAAGGACTGAGAGTTGCGATTCGGCCAGTCAGCACCTGTACTTCCTTGCAAGTTTTTGGTTCCTGATTCTACATGAGGGCCTGAGCCTAAGCCAGGCTTACCTTTATCCCTCTCTTGTTGACAATATGGCCGAGAAACTGCCCTGAAGAGACTGCGAAAGAACACTTGGAAGGATTCAGCTTCATGTTATATCTTCTCAAAGTGTCAAAAACTTCTTGGAGGTGCTTGGGATGGTCTTCCTTCTTCACACTTTTAACCACCCTGTCATCGATGCAGGCTTCTACCGTCCTTCCCAGCATCTCATCGAAGATCTTGTTAACGAGACGTTCGTAAGTTGCCCCAACATTCTTGAGTCCGAAGGACATGACTTTGTAACAGTAGGTGCCTTTCTCTGTTATGAATGCAGGTTTCTCTTCATCCTCTGGATTCATGGGGATCTAGTTGTACCCGGAATGCGCATCGAGGAATGTGAGTCTCTCATAGCCAGTGGTAGCGTCGACCATCTGATCTATCTTGGGTAGTGGAAAGATATCCTTAGGGCAAACATTGTTGAGATTGGTAAAATCTATACACACTTTCCATTTTCCATTCTTCTTCTGAACTACCACCATATTCGAGAGCCATTGTGGATAGTGCAATTCTCGAATGAAGCCTGCTTGAAGCAATTTACTTACTTCTTCAGCAATGATTTGATTGCACTGAGGAGCGAACCTTCTGTGTCTTTGCTTAACTGGTTTGAACACCGGATCCACCTTTAGGTTATAGCATGAGATTGAAGGGCTGATTCCTACCATGTCTGAATGATCCCAGGCAAACGCATATGCGTTCCGTCAAATGACATAAACTAACGCTTTTTTCTCTTCGGTTGTAGGGGAAGAGCCCATATAAGTGATTTTTTAAGGATTGCCGAGGACAACTTCGACGGTTTCGAGAGATTCCTCGGTAGGCTTTGTAGCTTTGGCTTCCTCCTCTGCTTTCAAATACTTGGGCAAATGGTTCTATAATTGCTATTTGGAAGTACCTCCGGGGATCACATCTGGCTAGGATTGCTTAATTATCTTCTTTGCTTCATTCAGTGTTAGCATGTAGCATTCTTTGGCAGTAACCTGATATCCCCAAAGATAAATAACCTCCTTACCGTCCGGAGACAAGCATCGCATCACCTAATAAAGGGTGGACAGAACCTCGTTCATTCGGTGGATCCAACCTCTTCCCATAATGAGATTGTAAGAAGGGTGGATGTCTGTTAGAACAAAGTTCTCCTTCAATGTCCTTTTTGATGTAGTGACGGATAGATCAATTACCCCAATGGGGTCCACCTTTGTGCCATCGAACCCCATCAAAGGACTAGAGGTGGGTCGAATTGATGATGACAGGATCTCCAATTGCTCAAAGACCTCCTTTGTGATAATATTGGCATTGCTACTTGGGTTAACCAATACTCTTTTGATCATGCAATTTGCCACCAGAAGACTGATGACTAGCGGATCCTCGTGGGGAAGCTGAACTCTGGATAAATCTCCATTGCCAAACCCAATACTGATACTGCCTGAAGTGATAGTGTTTACTGAGGATAACTTCCTTAGCTTGTGAGCTGTCCTCAGTCTGGATTGGTACACCTCTTCAGACACTTGGTCGTCTTCTGACCTCCCATGTATTGTATGGATAACTTTCACTTGATTTCCCTCTACTTTCCGAGGATTGACCTCCTGAGGCTTCATGTACTCTTTTGGTGTGAGGTAGTCTACCAACTCACCTTTGATTATCATGTTTTCTACTTGCCGCCTAAGGGATCTACAATCATTGGTTGTATCCCCATAATCCCTATGGTAGGCGCAGTGCTTGCTTTTATCCCCTTGCTCCAAGGGTTGCCTCATTGGCTGAGGGGTTGCGAATCTCACCTTGTTTTCTTGGAATAGCCGAGCTAAGGTGGTACGAAGAGGTGTGAACCTTTCCTCTGTCCTTTGCCTCTTCTCAGGTACCTGAGTGACCGGTGCTGAGGCATGCTGGCTTCTTTGACTTTTTAAACTTGAAGCTTTTTCCGAGGCTTATTTTCCACTGTGACGAGGGTGGCATGTGATACCCTCGAATCCGAGACACGGGTTGATCAGGCCCACGCCCAAACCCGAGGGAATATCAAACAATTAATATTTAACGAACACATAATACAAAATGGATTATTAAGAAATAAATAATAAATGGCTGAAAAGAATTCTAATTGAAAATCCTCAAAATATAATTGTTCAAATCCATTAATCCAAAACCTCCAATTATTTAACAACTCGGGAATCCATCTAGTGGACCCCTAATAAAATTCCCAACTGTAAAATAAAATAACTGTAATCAAAATCCAAAGCTAATAAGATAGTAGTCCTACGTAGTCGAAAGAATGGAAGTCCGTATCTGCTCTGCATGATCAAGCTCTAACCCTGGAACTGACGAGCACCTGAAAAATAAGAGAGTGGGTCAGGCCCACATGCAAGTCCTATTCTACTACGATCCAAACAGGAATCCGATACGCAGATACATCCTAGAGACACTTGAACCTGAAGTGCTCTGATACCAATTGTGATACCCCTCGGATCCGAGACACGGGTTGATCAGGCCCACGCCCAAACCCGAGGGAATATCAAACAATTAATATTTAACGAACACATAATACAAAATGGATTATTAAGAAATAAATAATAAATGGCTGAAAAGAATTCTAATTGAAAATCCTTAAAATATAATTGTTCAAATCCATTAATCCAAAACCTCCAATTATTGAACAATTCGGGAATCGATCTAGTGGACCCCTAATAAAAATCCCAACTGTAAAATAAAATTACTGTAATCAAAATCCAAAGCTAATAAGATAGTAGTCCTACGTAGTCAGAAGAATGGAAGTCCGTATCTGCTTTACACGATCAAGCTCTAACCTTGGACCTGAAGAACACCTGAAAAATAAGAGAGTGGGTCAGGCCCATATGCAAGTCCTATTCTACTACGATCCAAACAGGAATCTGATACACAGATACATCCTAGATAGACTCAACAATATCTAGAGTAGTCTATCTATGTATAAGTACACACTATAGGACGCTCACTAGTCTAATAGGTCTGTCTCAGCCTGAGTAGAGATGCCATGCAAATCGCACATAATGTGGTCATGTGTACCTAGACTTACCAAGGAGCAGTAACTATTGTCCAGCTATCCATCCTAGGCGATATACGCACCCTAACCATGGTCTTGAGACTCAAGCTCATACCATGGTATCATATCATAAATATATAAAATCCGTGTCCTCCTAATACAAAATATCACCCATCTAGTAAAGTGGTTTAATATATGTCTAACAATCCATCCTAGAAACCAAATTATGTCATTCAGTTATTTACTAACCTGACACCAATAGGAGTTGGACTTAACCTTTATGGTTAATCTACACCTTAATCCATTTTAGGTAGGACTTAGTGTTGAACTAATCCATACCTAGTATGCCACCGTCCCATACCGGTGCATACTATCCTCCAGCTAACATAGTTGACAAAACAATATAAATATTTATCAACCACATCCCAAAATAAGCATAAATATAGTTTAACATGTGTATAACTAAATTATGCATCTTATAAAAGATTTAGAATTCCAACTCCAGTCCATTAAATTGATAAAGCAAGATTATGCGATTTACTTCTCCAAACAGTACCATAACTGATGCAATATATAACAGATTTAAAACATCAGTTAATTCCATCAAAGCATACATATACTTAAACAACTATATGCTTATAACATAGCTAAAAACATGATTCATAATTTAAGATCATGCAAAGAAATCAAATTTGCTAAAACAGTAGGCAATATAAGTCAATTATCTAATCTTCCACATACGGGTTCTTCGTTTCACTTTATGTTAATTCTGGCCTTTATATCTAAATGTAAACATGCTTCCCAACATTTTTATAAGTCTTTAGCAATGAATTACACCATTCAGTAGCATACAGACAGCCTTAGAAAAACCCAGTTAAGCCAAACAAACCCTGAAAACAAGTTTTAACGCATTTAAAGGAGAGAGCAGGCTCTCAAAACTTGAGAGCCTGCTCCTAGGCAAGAAGTGCTGGCTCCCTACCCTTGGGAGCTAGCTCTAGGCTATTGAGAGCTGGCTCTCAACCCTAGAGAGCCGGCTCTAGCTTTGTGGGAGCAGGCTCCCTCCTTTTTTGGAGCCTGCTCTCACCCCTAAGAGCCATAGTCCGTTCTCCCTTCGTCTTCTTTGACTCCGGTGCTTTCCAGGCCTCTGTTATAATTTTTATTACATGTTTTAAGGTCCATCCCAGTTCCAGATTGATCATAAGATAATAATATACAACCAAGACTTGAATTGAAATACAAGTTTTTAAGCAACGGTAGCAAGATTTCAGACTGAACTTTTAAAGCAACTCAGAACAGATTATTTCAATGGAATTACATAACGATTAATCATGCATAAAAGATGTATTTAAGCTTTAGTTTAATCCCTGGAGTCTACCTAGGCATGCACAGAACACAGATTAAAGGGAAAGAGTATAACAGAGACTTGCCTTGAGTTTCAGTTTTGAAACTCTAATCCACCGTCTCTGAATTTTCTGACGAAATCCCCGACGGTTGTTCCACCTTTGTTGTTCTTAGTTCAACCCACAAGCACACGCCAAACTTCCCTCCTTGATTCAGTCCTAGCCTAAGGCAAAACCCTAGACTTCCTCCCTTTATCTCTCTCTATATTTCTCTGTATCTCACTGTCTCTCTATTTTACAGAATTATGCTTACGTTTCTAAAACCCTAAACCACCGTAATGTGTATATTTATAAGCTCAGAACAATAAATCTTAATCCGTGTATAACTATAGAACCTAGCCACAATTCTAGTCATCCCATTCGTGAAACCTAAAACCCTAAATAATTAAACAGTTATAACAGAATAATTAAAGACACCCATTAAAACCATTTAAAACCATTAATTTAATTAATCCAAGTAGTCCAACAGTTACATGTTATTAAAGCAATTAATTTAAATCATTCAAATAACATAAATAATAAAATTAATTCAAATAATACAAATAATTCAGATAATACAAAAAAAATTCAATAATTCAGATAATTAAAACAATAATTCAATAATTAAACAACTAACCATTTAAATAAATAAAAATGTAATTTAAATAATTAGATAAATACTAGGACTATCCTTTTAAGAATTAGGGGTATTACATGGCATGCTGTGCTCGATGGGTTACATTTTCTTTAAGCCGAATATAGATCTGTGCCCTAGCATTGAGAGTCTGCATGTCTGGAGGGGAATATTTGACTAGGGATGTATAAAACTTGGTACCCTGAATCATACTGATCTTGAATGTCTCTATAGCAGTCTCAGGATGACAATCTGCTATTTCTGAGGCCTCCATATTAAATCTGGATAGGTAATCCTGTAGCGTTTCTCCTCTCTTCTACCGTACGGTGAAGCGACTAGAGATGGTTTTCTTCTTCTTCTTGTTTCCACAGCATTATGTTAGGAACTTAGCGCATAAGGTTTCATAGTTTGGGATGGATTTGTGTGGCCTATCCTTGAACCATTCCAATGTAGCTCCTGTTAAACTAGTCAGGAAAACCTTACATATGAACATATCATTGTGATTGTCTAGTGCCATCTTTTGTAAGTAGTGGTCGAGATGACAGGAATGATCGCTTGTGCCATCAAACTGAGTGAAGGAAGGCATAGTGAATTTCTTTCGTTTGTCAGTATGGTAAATATCATCGGTGAACGGAGTCCTCACCAGAGAGTTCTTATGCTCTCTGGCCATCTCAGCGGGCGTCTGAACACCATTAGGAGCCTCTTCTCATCAAAGGTCTCTTGTATGCCTGCACCATCTGGAATACCATTAGTCCATGCCGTAAGCTTACTGCTGGACTCAGCCTGTTCGTCCTGCGTGCAACGAGGATGATTGTCCGAAGCAACCACCTCGGTCCTTGTCCTCTGCTCTTGCTCAACTTCGTTAGGCCGAACTTTATTAGGCCGTGCCTCATTGGCCTGAGGTTCGTTGACTGGAGGAGTGTTCTGGTTGGGGGGAGGTGCTGCCCCATCACCTGGTGGTGGCTGCGGTGCTAACTGAGCCATCGCCATTTGAAGGGCATCATTTCACTGTTGAAGCAACGCAATCTGAGTTATGCTGGCCTCGTTCGCCTGACGAAGCGTTTTAAATTGGTGCAAGAATTCTTCTCGTATCTTTTGCATCAACTCCATATGTTGATCAGCTGCTACTGTAGATCCTCTGATTAATATTCTAAATCGTAGTAGCATAAAAGAATTGAATCAATTGCGGGAGTATATTTCTATACGTTTCCCACATACGGTGCCAAAGTGTAGGTGCAAAATTTCAATCAACTAAAAATAGTTAAAAGAAAAAAATATAACTCACTCACAGAAAATAACAGATAGCAAAAATTATTCAGAGAAAAGCGTATATTGCTCGATGATCTTTATTGGAGGTCTAGGCCTCTATTTATATACAAAAAGATGGTACAATTATAGTAGGACTCGTATTGCTTGCCCTCTAATACATTCCATATATAATGTTCTTTCCTATAAAGTTGTTTCCTTCCACATTTCTTTCCATGCCAGATTTATCCTTTTGTTGAACTTCCTTATATGAAGGATCCTTTATTTGGTAGGACTGATTCTGTCTTTAAATGAGTCTGGGCCGAATACAATTTGGTCCAACTGACTTTATTGACGGGCTGGAAGTTCAATATTGGCGATCTTGGGCTGTTAGTGATTTTATCTGGGCTTGAACATGGATGGGCTCTTGTAACCCACCAAGAGATTAAGAATGAAGCCTCTGTTGTGGCTACGTGGTTGGCT